GCATGTAAATTACAGTAAAAGCTGGCGGAATGCGAATTACGCAGCACAAATCGCCCAAGGAACCTGTCGGTTTGACTGAAGATACGACCGGCCTGAAGGTTTCTGGCAGTCCTCCGAAACCATCAACAATTTCGGGAGCAATTCCGAAAGGTAATGCTGATTTTCCTGCAGAAGCGGTACAGGTGTTTCATAAAGATAAACCTCCTGTCCACCATAATGTAAAAACTCCCATTAACATTCAACAACCCAGGAAATAGATTTCATTCGAGTCAACTTTGTACGACTGATCACATTTAGGTATAGCATTTGAAACAAGCATTTACAATATTTCTAATTTTAAACAAAAAAAACATGGTTGTGTCTATATCAGTGTTTTGTGTTATTGTTTTATTTTTTATCAAATTCTTGCTTTAATTTTAATGTTTAAAAACGAGGAAGTGGTTTGCCGTTTAGGTGTTTTTATGCTTGGGATTTTTCGCATTTTTTTGCCAATGTAAATAATAGTTTGAAGGGTTAGTCTGTTGCTCATAGTTTATTATTAGTATTATCGGTAGGGCAACTGCGCCGGTAATTGCTAAAAAAAAGCTATATTTTATAGGAGTACTTAGGTAGTGTTTGTTACAAACAATACAGTTTATACATTACTAACAGTGTTACTTTTTTAATGTTTAACGATAGTTATTGTAATCATTCCATTTTAATTTTTCATTCTGCAAAGTAATTTCCGTACCTTTACTTTTATAAAAATCCTGGAGGAATACATTTTATTGTTATACTTTTTTTAAAATAAATAGATTAGTAATTGATGCATTATTCTTGAGATTTGGAAGTTGCAAATGTATTCCAAGTATCTACCTTTCTTTTCCAGTCTTTTTTGTTTAGTGGATTTAGGTGTGCTGCTGCTACTGATGCCCTATATAAAATACAATTAATACGTGAATTACATAAGCGCTCATGTTACCGAAAGTCATCGTAGTTTTTGGCTGAGACTGCCGCTTTTAGTTTTGCCTCATTTCTTATCCAATACATTTTGTCGTTATCTATGGCAGATTGTAATTCTTCTAATAATTCCTTATTGTCAACATTTGATCTTGACATTTTCTCAAAAAAATAAGATAAAAAGTGATATTGACCAAACAGTTTTGTTACTAAGTGATGGTGTAGAGATAGTACGAGCAAAGGTCGTATGTGTTTTTGTTGTTTTTAAAGATGTGATAGGTATAATTATTGAATACTGTTTATTAGTGAAGGTATAGAACCTAATTATAAACATGTAACCTTGTAGGTAAATATAACCATTGTTTAAGTATTTAAACAATGATATAAATAACCTAGGCTCTAGGTTCAGCATGTTACCCAATGCCCATTGCTCTGTGGGCATTTTGAGTAATAAGTTTTTTCTTTAGATATTAGATTAGGAGCTCTCAATTTGATAGAATTATGTAACGTTTCAAACATCAAACACTTTGTATGAGGAACAAATGAATAAACAAAGAAGCTTGGTGATAATTCAGATTACTTCCAATTGGTATAAAATGTATAAAAAACAATTGTAATCATAGAGAAAGATGAACTATAAAAAATGTAGCATCTCTATATGCCCTATACAGAGATATTCATATGTAGAAGTAGACATAGGGATTTCTTATAGGAATTTTCTATGTCTACTTATAGATGATAAAAAGGCTTCTAAAGGACGCCTAACTTTATGCAACCAAAATAGCTACCTATACAACAAGTGAAGATCTGCCTGTCCTATAATTAATTTGAATATTATCGCTTTGACTTCCGTATTCTAATTTTCGTTCGTGTGCGATGTATTCAACTAAAGAAAAAGTTGATATTTCCAATTGGTACAGTGCCGATAACAGTTAAAGGAGCTTAAGAGATTTATTTTCTGTGAAGCCGAAGCAACAATATTTAAATTAATATGACAGTTAGATTTTTATTTGATTCAAGAAGTTATTATTTATATTGGTTGCATAAAATTAGGCGTCTTTCAGAAGACTATCATTTAAAAGTAGACATAGGAAATCCCTATTTACACCTATGTTCCTTATTTATGCGTTTTAAACAAGAAATTGAATTAAATTACCTAATTAAATAGTGATATACTAACTAACTTTAATAACTAAAATTAAAACGACAATGCCACAACATTTTCCATTTCTCTGTCTATTTGAAATTAAATTTTCCAGATCCTATGAAATACTTGATTGATTTTACATACAGGATGTTTCGACTGATGCTATTTTTAATACTTAAACCGGAATTAAGTTAACAACACGCATTTTACTTTTCACTAGAGTGCGGCTAGCTTTCCATCTTCGGCAACGTATAGAAACGGCACTTCTCTGTACTTTACACAACAATAAATTAGGCATCAAGGATGTAAAACACTGTCAAAAACTCCTTTTTTATATCTGGTTTAAGCTAAGAAGTTGTTCTCTTAATAAGGTGGGTCATTAAAAAGGACAACTTTGCCTCCAGTTAACCTACACTGTATCTCTTACAATTTAAGTAATATACAAATGTTGTGTTGCTATTTGAAAAAAAAGTTCGAGGCCATTATGCAGCGCTCCAACATTTCTTGTTAAAAAATCCGGCCCGTTCTAAATCTAATCTAAAATTTGAACAAAATCCGTAGAGCCGTTATCTCGGAAAATTGCTTCTATATACAGGGTGGTGCCTAGCGCAACGCAGCATAGGGATTTCAATGGTAATATCTTTATAGTCAATTACTAGCTCCCCTAATTATTTTAGAGCAAAAGTCTAAATACGTTTTTTTAGAGAAAAAAATACTGCATCTGTTCATACTTTTAGTTATAATTTTCCATTTTTCAAAACCGTAGAAATCGACAAAATAAAAAATTACTTTTTTATAAATCAGTGATGCTTTGGAATCTTTTAACAAACTACAAGCGCATCGCATCTAAGTTATCGTTGTTTTTGTTTGACGTCGAACGATTTTCATATTTAATTCTGTTTCAACTAACCGACGCAATAAAAGGCATCTTAGTGTAATGTTTTTTTAGAGAATGTATGCTGCATCTGCATCAGATACTATTTGTTTATCATTTTCCGGAATCAGAGTACCCACATAATCGAAGAAAAAAAACTGATTTGAAGAAGATTTGGTCCTTATATTCGGATTTTCCGCTACTGCAGCCAAACTTTGAATGTATTGTCGTTTTTTGACGGACATTTTGAACGTTATTGCACTTGCAGTTCTTTAACTAATTTATAAACAAGTATAAATTTGATATACGTCAAAGGCAAATAATGAATAAACGTGATCGCTATTTTTTTAGGTAATTCCTAGGCATATTTGATTTATTGTAAAATGAACCTTTTTATTTTGTCGATTTGTACGGTTTTGAAAAACGGAAAATTATAAGTAATAGTATGAACAGATGCAGTATTTTTTTCTCTAAAAAAACGTATTGGGACTTTTGCTCTAAAATAATGATGGGAGCTAGTAATTTACTATAAAGAAATTACCATTGAAATCCCTGTGCTGCGTCGCGCTAGGCACCACCCGGTATACGCGTACGTAATAGAGATGGAAATATTTGAAGAAATGTTGACATGTTTAAAAAACCCTCATCGCAATAACCGCACCTAACTCAAGCTATAGGAAGCTAATTAAAGAAATGTTGGTACTTATACCGAGATAACATTGAATATTTCTGTAATATACCAGGACCAGGAATATTCAAAAAGATACCTATATTTGAACATATACAGAGTGGTGACTTGCGTAACGCATCATAGGGATATCAATATGTAAAATTCATAACATGCGATTATTGGCTCCCTAAATTATTTTAGAGCAAAAATGTATTAAGGTTTTTTGTAGAAAAAAATTTTTACGTCAATCAACTGTATTAGTTTTCAATTTTTTGCATAATAAAGACGGAACATTGCAAAAATAAAACCCGCATCTTTTTCAATAATCTGGAATTTTTCTAAAACAAAAAGATATCCAGTTATCAATTAGCAGCAGTTCCAAGTGGATTTTATCATCGACTTGGTTGCAGTTAATGGTGACTTATTCGAACATTTATTGCAAATTGTTATATTAAGAAACCGTTTTCAGTAATTTGGTATTTCTTTATGTTGAATTCGCTGTTCTAAATATAATACTTTTTGATAGAATTTGATTTGTTTTATAGCAGACATTCCATGGCATGACGGATATTGGCGTAGTTTTTGTATTATAAAATTCCATGGCATCACAGATTAATTGAAAAAGATGGGAGTTTTATTTTCCAATTTTCCGTCTTTATTATGCAAAAAATTGAAAACTAATACGGTTGATTGACGTAAAAAAAATTTTTCTACAAAAAACCTTAATACATTTTTGCTCTAAAATAGTTTGGGGAGCCAATAATCGCATGTTGTGAATTTTACATTGAAATCCCTATGATGCGTTACGCAAGTCACCACCCTGTATATTAAATATACCTAGAATATACATTTGCCTTGTAAAATATATTAGGGATATGCGAATGGGAATGTCTCAGATATTCAGAGAATAAACTTGGAAGAATATTCATTGTTAATGAGCTTCTCGATAACGAATGGACCGATTACGATAAAATTTAGTACTTATTCTTTATCAAATTTGTAGATAGGAGTTCGTGAATTGGCAATGTAGCCCAAAAAATAAAGAAGGCCCTTTTGACATCTCCGTGGGTTATGAACCGAATTGCATGAAATTGAATATGCGAATATGCTTTAGCCATATAAAACGAAATTCCAAAAATTGAGCCTAATCGATCAGCATTCACAGTGCCCTTTTCGCATCTCGACCATTTATAAACCGAATTGCAGGACACGCTGTATATTCATAGAACATTTTATGGATATTTGATTCACATACTATCTAGCATGTTAAAAGAATATTTGAAGAAAATCCAATGTTATCCAATTACAAATTTTGTTGGGAAATATGCTGCTGATGAGCTGTGGCTGTGTACACCAAGAAGAAACAAAGATTACTTAAAAAAGGTTTGACTGGTATTTAATTATAAAACTAAATATAAAATACATGTTTATGTACAGTATGTATTTGTAACAATGTACTATCTAATAGTAACGCCCAATTGATCACGAGCTGCATGTTCCACATGTTGATGTATTTTATTCACTTCTGCATTTGTTAATGTTCTTTCCATATGCCTATAAATTATACGATAACAGTGACTCTTTTTTTTACTTTTTGGATGAGTAAATTGATCGACTAACAAGACTTGCTCTGCTAAATCACCCGCAATATTCCGCACCAAATCATAAAAATCATTGCTGCAAAATAAAGAGTCTTCTTCTGGTAACCAAAAACTTATATCATGAATGCATTGTGGATATTGGCTTATAGGTTTATAAACAATCGGTGTCTTTAAATTGTCATTTTTAAACTGATTTAAGAAACCCGAATCAGTGGACCAAAACAGTCTAATATCTGGAATACTATATAAACACATCGCGATACGTTCCAATCCCAATCCAAATGCCCATCCGATCCGATTATCAACACCAATGTTGGTAAGCAAAGACTGCACCATAATACCACAACCTAAAATCTCAAGCCATTCATTATTGTGGTACACCTCCAATTCCCACGATGGCTGTGTGAAAGGAAAAGTTGTATCGACCCAGCGATACTGAACTTGATTGCCGAACAGTTCCTTTGCCAATCCCACTAGTGTTGTTTTCAATTCATGTTCCATCAACTTAAACGCTTCCAACGTATGACACCGTTGTTTGCTCGGTCCTCCCGGTATACATGCGGTATCGTCACAATCGAACAACTTCAAATCACTTTCACTTGAAAATAATTGATCTTTGGTCTTCAAACGAACAGCATCCAGCTGATGAAAAACGGGATAATGTTTTGAATCGATTTCGTCCCTTCTGTACACATCACCGACTATTAAAAAGTTATCCAAACCCGCCTTTATTAACTCGGACTGATGGGCGGTGGTATGAGCGCGAAGTAGGTATTCGCGGTTGATGTAGTAGCAATCCGATTTTGATCTTGAGGGATGATCTTCGGGTATTAATAAGCTGTCGAAGTTCTGGGTTAACGTTACAATTGGCGATAGGTTGTCGTAAACTGAAAACAACGGATTTCTTCGTGAATTGAGAAAGCTCTTGTAAAAGTAGTTGACGATTCTTTGTCTGACTAGCGAGATTGGATGGTTTTGAATGAGATGGAGGTTTTTTTGTGTTAAACTTGCGATTTTGTCTGTAATGTTTGTGTAGTCGTCCCGTTTGAAAGTTTTGCTATTTATGGCTATGGTTTCCGTTAGTTGAGGTTTGGCCGATGTGGAGCTCCACCGAAAGTTTTTGAGGAGTTTTCGAGGTATTCTCACGATATTCGATATCATTTTTGTGATTTGTTTAGTACATAATTGTTTGGTTATGCGAGCTTAACCTAAAATTATTTGACAGCGAAGGAGAAGCGAGCAGCTGTGCGCTACAGTTCTGCCATCTGAACGTGATTAATTAATTTATAGATTTGCAGAATGGGATTGTGGGTAAGCGAGCTGGGAAATTTTTATGCAAACCGAAGTCGACCTTCACGTCATTCAATTCAATCAAAATGCAGCAGCAGCAGTTTCAAAATTAATTTCATCCCTATGTAGTGAGTGATGCAGTAAAAAGGAGGTCGGTCGTGCTGCTTAACTTCGCGTGGAGCGTTGTGCCTGTGATTAATAGTTTCAAATGTTTACTGGGACGGTGGGAGTGAAAATATGCGAGGCTTCTGGATTGAGGCCTACGGACTTTCAAAAACGACACAACATGACGTTTGGTAAACCCGAAGAGCAGTTAATCGACCCGTACGTGACGGTAGATGTTGATGAAACGCACGTGGCCCAATCCACCACAAAACAGAAAACGTTCGACCCCGTGTGGAACGAGTACTTTGAGCAAAAGGTGGAAAATGCGAAGACGTTGACCCTGACGGTGTTTCACGATGCCTCAATACCACCAGATGATTTTGTCGCTAATTGCAGCATCCCTTTCGAGGATTTAATGAATAGGGATAAAGATGCGGGAGATTTTTGGGTAAGTAATGTGTTGAACTATGTTGTGTTCCTACCACGTTTGATAACTTTCCTTCATAATGTTCTTTGCATGATAATTAATCTGTGTCCTTCCGAAGAGTGTTTGAAGCTGCTGTTGAAAAATTGTTGTACTCGTAATTGTAAATACAAAATCTCTAGTTTTTGCATATAGGTAATCGTTATTCTGGTAGGTTGTTTATTGTTAGTCCATTGCTCACTTTTCTCTTAAGGTCCAGTGCCTATCACACATTTGTAGTAGCTAGAGCCATGTGGCTTAATATTTCTCTGTTACTAATAACACTGTCACACAGCACTGACACAAAGTCGCTGTAGCCACACTACAGTCACCTGATGGATACTAGCCCTAGTCACCTAGTTCCATACTCACGTTCAGTTTGTCGGCAGTCCATGGACTGTTAGTCCTGGCCGGCCGGCGTCGCTGCCCACTATTGTTGCTCAAAATTATTCCTGCCCATCAATATCTCCGCCGAGCTTACTTACAATGCGATGTTTAGTTTACAATTCTTGTTCATAGAGGAATGGCCGGTCGGCCGCCTGTATGTGTGTTAGTGAAGACTGGCTGGCCGACGGTATGCTTTCCAGCCAAAATCGCCAGCGAAGTGACGTGAGTATCTAAATTTAAAACATATATATGTAGTTTTTTATATATACCATAGGATGGCCATAAATACCTACCTATAGGTGTAGTGTATTTTCAAGTAGTTAAGTAATTGGTTGTGAAACTACATCAAACCTTGTCATTTTGTTTATAAATTATTTGTAAACCTGTTAAGCCCATCCTGTTGTGCAGGAGTATATCTAATCTTATGTGTAAATAAAAGTTATCCACGTTAAAAGTATACTGGATGATGATTTCTTTTGGATTATGAACTTGTGCAACTGAGCGAGTGTATATGCTAGCACACTAGCGCCACAGTGTGACTTGCTCGAGAAACAGTTAGCTGGTCAGAGTCGATGTGATTATATGTGCTATTGCTAGCACTTATTCTTATGAATCTTTTTCCAAGAATTGAAGTTTGTATTTCACCATTGTTAATAATTATATTTATTGTGTAATAGGAATCTTCATTTGCCAATATGTCTCGGAACAGTAGATTTTTGTAGTCATCAATAATTTGACAATTCATTATTGTCGAATTCCTTGAGGTACCAGTATTTTGATTAGAATGCACTTTTCATAGTTCTTACAGACGAGATCGAAAAAAAACTGACCTCATTTCAGGCTAATATTTAAAAGATGTTATTATTAAAAATGTTGCTATAATATAGATTTTTTAGTTTTTTTTAATGAAGTTTTAACTTTTCAGCTGTCAAAATAAATTTTTTTTATTATTTTTAGTTTTTTAGTTATAATCTCGGCTATAACCTATCTACCTATCAACTGTCTTATTTCTCAAGATATCTTTTTGAAATCTTAATCACAAATGCTTCTATTAAAGGCAAACATATCTCATATTAGATGTGCGCATGCGCAGTGTATGCGCCAACTTCCTTATTCATGAAGATATTTCTTTGGAATTTTAACCATAGACACTTCATAAATAGTCCGTTTTGTGAGCTTTTGGGAAGAACTACTCAATGCATGGAAAATGCGCTAAAGTTATTCGCCTTAGGGCGAACACATGTTTACTTGTTAATACTTAGATGCAGTAGCTACTCCTGGGCCCAAGAAAATCCCAACATGCCAGCTGAAATGATAAATGAAGGTTGATTGTTAATGTTCATCGAGGATAAATTATTATTTTATTATTATTACAACAGGGTTGGCAAACAAACACCGGGTGGGTTTTTTACAAAAACATTTTGTAACAAAAGTTTTGTAATTTTTTGGTGTTTTGTAAAAGAACTGTATTTTTATGCCTAGAGTACGTTAGGTTAGTTTTTATTTTCATTAACAAGCACTCCATACAAATACTTTTATTTTACATTAAAGGCAGATTGGTTTAGACTAGACAGATGTTCTGTGAGTCTAGTCCATTGCTGACACTGTTTCATTGTGGCGACACCGTTTTAGTTTGCATTCTCTCATTAATACCCCAAGAGTTTTGTAATTATCGTTTGGCTTTAGCTTTGAGGTGTTTGTTCTTTCCTATAAAACAGATGGCGTTACGATATTCGGACGACATTCATATAAAAACCCAATTGCCCAGGAAAACTCAAAAAAACTTCAAATACCCAAGTGCCCATGGCGTCAAAATACAGGAGCTTAGGAAAGCAATCTTTTCGAGAATCTTTTAGATGATTTTCAATTTTTAGCGCATTTTTGGGAATTAAAAAAAATTGCTATTATTTTGTCCCTCTGGACCCTCTTCTGCGGTTTTAGCATTGTTCTAGAAGCTTGGAATGTTTGCATTACCAGTGTGCCAGATGGTCTTCAAATTTTGTTGTCTTAATTATTTCCCGAGATGCTGTTTCTGAAAGTAAAACGTGAACCTTTACATGGGCCAAACAATGTGTCTCAGTGCCATGTAAAACTTAAAACGGGGGGGGGGGGGGGGGGATACATTAAAGATCTCAAGGAAAGTAACTGTTTTCTACAAACTACCGCCCTTCTCTCTTACGCCTTACTAAAATTGAGGGGAGGAGGAGACACTAGCTTTATTCTCAAGTCTCTATGAAAGGAATTGATTTCTACCAACTATCGCTTTTTCCCACGACCTATTATTGGGATCGGGTATAATTCCTTACCTTTTTGTAATTAGGCGAGGGGGAGGGGTTAGAAACTGATATTATTCTTCATGGTATTCTAATGAAGTGTCAACAGCAGGAGTTAATTCCTACTGCCCTACTTTCAAGAAGTTATAATTCCTCATATCTCGAGAACAAAGTGTCAGACGAGAATACACACAAAGGCAACAAGGAAGATCTGGACGACTCATTTCTATTGATGATATCAAAACTAACTACGAATATCTGGAGTATGGAATGTCAAAGGAGATACTCACAAAGGGTTATTGGAACATCTGCCCAAAGTATATCTATTGGTGAAGTCAAAATGAATATATCGTGGACGGAGTGTCAGAGAGAGGTACTCACAAAGAGAAAATGGAACGTCTGAAGAGGGGTGGATGGGACCGGCGGGATACCGGGAACTTTCCCGGTGGGCCGGTAGGATCCATGAGCGCTTTGCGGCTGGCAGCATCACTCAAATGAAAACACAAAACAGAGATAGTCAGGCGATGCCGTGCCGCCACTTGCAAGAAATTAATTAATATTCGAAGGTGATGGTGTAAATAAAAAATCAAAAGTCCTCATGTCCATCAATAAGATCTTGTTGAAGACTACCACACTCCCTGTGTCGGTATCCACCTCTGACGTCCCGTTCACCTGCAATTTGTATTTTGGTGGATTTTGCTAAAAACCCTCCACAAAATAGTACTCAATTTTAGGGGCACTTCTGATAGCTCCAGCTTCTTTTGGCGGCACGTGCACGAGAAAGAGAGACCGCGATTGGAGCACTTTAAGGTGCGCACAATCGGACCAAAACTGTAGAAGAAGAAGGAAAAATCACCACGTTAATACAACACGCTTCGGGATGGCTCCCAGATGTCGCCAACCGCATCATGTAGTAACTTGTTAATTACACGACGCCCCGGTAGCATTCCTTGTCTAATGTCTTCGACCAAGCGTTTTTCTGCAGACCCGCATTTGCTGCCAGCCGGCTCAAGTGAGATTAAAAGCTACCTTTGGCACAAATTTGCGAAGATGCGCTATGAAATTACTAATAAGGATATTTAAATGAGCAAATTGGAAGAAAATTGAGAATTTCTATGTTGAGACTCTTAAAATCAAGCCATTGAATCGATTAAAGGTAGATTTTCACAAAGTATACAGATATGTCAGATATATGTATGGATCTTTCCTTTTTAAATTCACATAATTTCCCTGATTTTAAAAATGAAGTATTGCCTAATAATCTACTGGAAAAACGTTGGGAAAATGCCAGACCTGTTCGATTACGAGAAGAAATTTTAAAATACTGTCGGGGGCATCTACAATTGAGACTTCTTGAAAAAAATGTATACAAATTGTTAACCGTCCACCGCGTTACTTCCGAACGATGCAGATAAAAAATAAAATGTAGAGATGTAGAGAATCGGCGATAAAGAGCGAAGACAGATGTGACGCAATCTTTCCGGGAAATACGACGTGTTTGTTAGAGAACATTCTAGAATACTAGGGAGCCTTCCAGAAAGAGCGGCGTTTGCTATGTAAGCAAATCGAATTGCGTTTCAATCAGTTCCAATTTCAACGTCGCGCTTATAATTACTGTTATAAATGAATCCATTTTAAGACTTACACGTTAATTAATTGATTCTTATTCTTTCGCAATTCTGAAATGTATAATTTCGATTATGGAACAGATTGTGTAACGATAATCTGGAAGCATTTATGTTGTTAGAAAATATTTATCAACAATCAGTGTTAGAAAAAGCATAAATGTTTCAAATTAGGGCGCATTGGAGTACCCCCTCCCCCACCCGCTAAGTGGGCCGATAGTCAAGTATATTTCACGGACCGGTTTATGGTTCCCCATCTGAGCTTAAAATGAATATCTTGAGAGTGGAGTTGTCAGAGGAACGCACAATGGAAAAAGAGAACGTCTGGATGGAACATATCTCAGTCAGTTTAAGTGAGAATATCTCGATAACAGAGAATCGGAGGGAGGAGAGTACTCACAAAAGGAAAATGCAGCAATGGGCGCGTTCACCAGATGAAGCGCTTCATGAGCGCTACCTAAAGTTTGGCAAAAAAAAGCATTTTTTATGTCGAGCTGTGGTTACAGACGATAAATACGTCGCTGATGCACAGACATTTAGCACAAACGCGAGCCGCTTGTAGACGAGTATACAAGTTAACTCGGGCAGACGCCCAAATAGCTACTTTAGACGTGTCTGTTCGGGCCAAGCTTTGACAATAACATTATAGCGCATTCTCGAGTTTCAACTCTAGGGGTAGTAGTGTCAAAATGAATTTATACAACTAGATGTTGTCTAGTATAAAAACAGTCACGTCAATCATCGCAGGTAGCCACCTACTGCAAAACTGAGGTGTACACAAATTATGCTATTATATTTCCATCTCTAGGTCTACCCGTGCGCAGAAAAACAGGTTTTGCAACTGTTTTTATACTAGACGACGTCTAGCAATAAAGTACAATAGAATAATCAGCAAGAGACTAAATATTTACTAAATTTTCCTTTCATCGTTTACTGTTGTACTTTCACAAATCAAACAATCATAATAATAATTAATAATATTACAATGTTGAATAACGGATCCACTTCTGTTTCAGGTTAATCTTGAACCGAAAGGGCAATTGCACGTTCGTATAGACCTGAAGTTAACATCAAAAGGTCAGTATATTCGTACTTGTAATTTTTGCTTTAAACAATTTAGTTTATTCAGAATATGGTGCTAAGCCACGAGAATTTAAAGAAAGGCAAGGTTTCAATAGAAGAAGAGGTGCAATGCGTCGCAGGGTACATCAAGTTAATGGTCACAAATTCATGGCGACATTTCTACGACAACCAACTTTTTGTTCACATTGTAGAGAGTTTATATGGTAAGTAATCATTGAATTTGTACTCGCTTACTGTAGGAAATTTGGAATAGATTGGGTACTAACAACTATGCGTTTTGAAAGGCGATTAATTTGAAAAGAAATTAAATCATAGCCGGATTGCTGTGTGATTTTGTTATGTATTAATTTGTGGTTGCACCAATTGTGTGTAACGGTGGTTCTTGTTTTTCAGGGGATTGGGCAAGCAAGGCTATCAGTGTCAAGGTAATTAAATATGTGTCACAATGCATGCTTTTTAATATAATATTTGTCTTTTGCTTTTCAATGTAAATATTTCGGATTTTCGGCGTTTATAATAAAAGCGTATAAATCTAAATTTAAATTATTTTCGCTTAAAAATTACGGATCTATTAATATTTATTAACAAACTGCTTGCTTTGACATTAACTTTATTTTTAAATTGATATCTGACTATTTTAATCTATTGCCAATACGTTTTTTATATCTATTTGAAAAGGAATTGACTAAAACCCACAAAGTTTGCAAGCTCTTATCTTGGGGATGTGGTATTGTTTCATTCAGGAAATTCCACTTCTCAGGAAGATAACACACATCGAGCTAGTCTATTCTATTCTGATTTTTTCCTTTACAAAAGAGGTCTATATTTTTGTCCATATTTCCAAATTGGACACAGAATTCATTTACTAGTATCTTTAGCATCTACAGCAAAAATGTTATCCATATTTTTCTCTGTTTTTCTGTCAGGGAACTATGCTGGTGTGACTAACTTTCATTGAAAAATTTATGTGGTGGCTCATTGGATATTTTTTTAACACGATTTAGGGATACACTTACATTTATTTCATATAGCATTCTACGTTAATAACCATGTATATCTATTTCTTGCATGCCTTTCTTTGATACCTTATTAATGTTTTTTTTTTAATTTTGCAGCACCAGTGGCATGGCTGAATCTTGCTTTTTAATTTATTTGTAAGTTATGCTTTTTTTTATTTTATGTTCTTTTATTCATTTTCTTTCCTTTTTAGTCTTCACTGTTTGTTGTTTTATTCGATTTCTACTAGTTTAGTAGTAAATAAACAATAGAGTCTTATTAACAGGCAAGAATGGAGAATCTTTAAACAAACTTTGTTAATAGGAATGCGCCAATATTTTCATAAAACTATTAAAAATGCCATACTAGCTACCTGAATAAATGATATAGGAAGCTACAATAATCCTAATTTACTTATGTGTCACGCTTCCTTGTAGAAATAAACGACAAATATTATATAAAAATAGTAATATAGAGTAAGAAACGAGGTAAGAAACCAAAATTCGACATTATTCTAAATGATCCAATTTTAAAATTTTGTATTTATTAGAACACAAATTCAAAATCAACAATCAATATACCAATGACAATAGAAAGTTTCAAATTTTTTTTTAACCTACTCATAGGTGCAGGCTCTGTCAGTTTTTGGTGAGAAAAATGAGGGTGGAGTACAAGGTTTTCTCTGTTATTGAGTTTGCAAAAAGTGAATCGCTAGTTACAGTGCAGTGGGCATTTGGTACCAAATTTAGTATTGAACCACCAACTAAAAAAGGCACGGTTAAGCATTATCACATGATATCAGACAGTTTTGTTCGCAGTCCAAGTAAGTCTACTAGTAGAGCTATACTGTATTCATTTTAAGAAGGTAGCGGTAGAATGCATAGGGAAGCTTTGACCTTCACTGTGATTGGTTAAAACATGGGTCAGTATACAATGAAACATAAAACGACTGGCGAATTTTGTAAGGTGGTAGTTTATGTTGCCACCTAAACTTCCGAAGTGTTATTAGCTGTTATTGTCCTAGATTTATTTCTGTTCGCAGTGCTGAATATTTCTACTTTACAATAATTTGGTGCCGTTTTATATTTTTCCTGTGTGTGTTTATCTTCAAACACAGCGCCATCTACTACCTTCTTATAATGAATGCAGTATAGAATACCCCAACTAACTGTATGGAAACTTCTCAGTGTGCTGTACAATTACAACTTGTGCAGACCTAAAGTTCGAAAGAAGTTTCTACAGCGTATAGTTTTTAACGATGAAACTACTTTCCACCTTAGTGGGCAACTGGACATGTTAACAAACACATTGTTTACATATGCGGTGTCCAAACTCCACATACAAACATGAAAAAGACTCGCCGAAGATAAACATCTTGTGTAACTTCCCTTGCACGTTTTTATTTACGAAAAGAACTCTTAACTGGAATACTTGAACATGTCGATGCTGTTTCCTCAAGTTAAGGCTAGGGTTTCCTCCTATACTGAAACATGTACTCCTTTCTAAATACACAGTTTGCTTAAAACATAATAGTTTTCACTCAAATTTTGAAATGATGTGGTTGAAGGTTTGTTGTAGGACATGTGCTATTTCATTTTACAGGCAAATGTGAAAAATAATTTAAAAAAATTATGAAACTACCTATATTGGGCTGATATTTATGAGGTTACTATTCGGGACACAGGTAAAAATATTCGTTTTAAAGTAGCTTAGGTCCTACAATATTGTGTCAAAAAGAATCATACATCATTTGGCTGGATTTTATGATACCGTTTTTAAACTGTGTATTTAGTAAACTTTCCCTATAAGCGCAATGTAAATTTCAGTGAATGCCATGATTTAGCTACGCGGCTTATGCGGCAAACTACCTCGTGCGACAATCTTCGTCAAATGACACTTGTACTTTAGTACTAATACTATTAGTGTAATAAATGGAGGTAACAAGTCTGCGTAACGTCGAAGTAAGCTGAAAATTGACCTAAATTATAATATAATACCATTGATCAATGATAATACACGAAATAAGCTGCTTAGTGCTTATATGGAAGTATAGCGTGAGCATGCGTTTTGGACTCCCCTGTCTGAGGATGGCAACCCACCGAAACCCAAAATTTTAATCACTTGTTCCCTATTTGTGTATCATACATATTTGAGCTTTATACCTCAAAGCGTATTGCAGTTATCCTGCGAACGATCGGAAGCACGGTATTGATAAAGTAGCTGTTCGCAATATGCGTGGTACCTACTCCAACAGAAGTATTGCAGAATTTGCAGGGAAGTTACCAAATCACAATTTTGTGGGTTTGAAATAGGTTCCAGAATTAGTCCAACATAATTTAAATTTTTGAAATTTGTTTGTAGTTTTCGAAATAATTTAAAATTACACATTGAGTTTGATTTTAAGGAAGTATTTCGAAAGAAAAAACTCTCTTTATGCCATGTTTTGTCAGTCCGTCCGCCCGTATGTCCGCTGTTCCTCGTCTAATTCGAGAACGAAAAGAGAAAGCGATCTCAAATCTTCCCCAATCGATTTCTAGGAATTCAAGTGTCTGTGACGTCAGTGCTATTGAATATGAACCGGATTATAAGACGTGTATAATAAAAGTTCTTCTAGCACTCTTGAAATTAATTTTTAGAGCATCATCTTAATGTGTTAAAATTCTCTTCAAGTTTTCAATGAGAGTCATCCTGAATGTTGGAACCCTCACTTTCCCTTGAAAGTACAGGAAAAAACTGCTCATAAATACGAAAGTTTGGTCTGCGCATGCGCAATCCATTTTCTGAGTTGCGTTTTCAATTTTCATTCAACATTTAATTCATTCTTTCCTGCTTTTAAAATTTTAGAAAAAGGACGGACCTCGGAACGGACGTACAGACATACGGACAAAGTAACCACAATAGCCATTTTTATTTTTGTGAAAATCCGCTAAAAATACCTCTTAGGACGTTCACCACATCACATTTTTATCTTAAAAGCTATCGTTATATATTCTTTATCAGCTTATTCAGCATGCAACTAAGGAAAACACTGTTTCTAGGTCGACAGCGCGACAATATAGAAATGCGCTTCTTCTAAATCGTTTGTATTGTAAACAATAATCTTTCATTTTGTTTCTACTTTTTTTTAATTAAAAAAGGGCTTTTGTCCGTTCGTTTGAATGAATCCTCATTACATAGTTATTTGTATACCTGGCCGAGGCAAAAACTTCTCCCGGTACACCAAACACATTTCGCAGCCGCGGTGTACACAATATTTTTTGTGCAAGCCCAATATTTATAAATAATAATTAACAATGTTTCAAATTTTCAATTTAAATTTCTAAATTCCTTCTGTCAATTGTGGCCTGCCATGGGAAAGTGTACGTAATAGCATGTACCATGCGTAATAGCTATAGCATGCACAGAGAAGTATTTTTTGCGCTAGATACGTATTAACGGTTTCCAAAATTATGCCTACATTGGGATGGGCCCCCAATTTTGTAAATCAGCTACTAAATGATAGTAATCAACGTACTTATCTACAACTTCTGCGAGTTCTGCTACTTCTATCGCTTGCTCCAAAACTGGAAAATGGTTACCATCCATTGGTGGAGTACTATTGTATCGTTTATTAAGCTTATAGATATAAAGAACAAAGCATATTTACTTGCACTGATTCAATTTTTTATCGTTCCAGTTTTTTCGGATAGTCATTGAACGTTTCGACCTACGTCGGTGACGTTGCGACAGTGGAATCCTTGTTTTTGGCATTTTTTTCTTAAAAATGTAAAACTTCAAGAAATTAATTAATGAAAGTGATATAACCAACACCCTTGCAAATGTAAAAACTAAATCAAAAATATAAAACGTGGAAAAAGTTGCAATACAATGTGATTGATCTTATCACGATTTTTATACGCTGGCTATACCTACCGTTTACACATTTCCTAAATTTAACAGTTCAACTACAACACGGTAAATAAAAGTATCTTGCATGAATATCTGACAAATTTCGTATTTTTTTTAATGATAGTGTGACATTTGTAAATGCAAAGAATTGAATAATATGATTGGACCAAAAATAGTACAATGCGAACGACTTCCGTATAATTATAGTATACTAATAATAATAAACTAGTAGAGGTAAACTTCAACTATTGTGGTCTAATTATTTATTCCTGTAAACACTTTTTAAACCAAATGTATCTAATAAAATTGTACATACACAAACAAAAAAATGAGTTGCAAACAAGACAGCAAATGTATACCAAACTTTATATATTTAAGTAGTAATACAATTAATTCGCAATATTTAGGTATTCAGATAAGTAGACACCACCAGCGGCAATCGTTATTGTAACAATTAAGTTAACTTAACTCGGTCCGTACTGCAAAACAGACTTTCGCGCCGATTAAACTGCACTCAACCTTATTTTCGTAACACGCATCC